CGGGGCGGGTGGGGAGGGAGTTGGGGGGTGGAGGAGGGATGGAGTGGGAGTGTGGGATTAGCAGATGCAAACTATTACATACAGAATGGATAAACAACAAGGTCCTACTGTAGAGCACAGGGAACTATGTTCAGTATCAAGAATATGAAGGTTATATATATATATATATACACACATACATATATATATATAACTGGATCACTTTGGTATATAGCAGAAATTAACACAACATTGTAAATCAACTACACTTCTTGTTTTTTTTTTTTTTTTTTGCGGTACGCGGGCCTCTCACTGCTGTGGCTTCTCCCGTTGTGGAGCACAGGCTCCAGACGCGCAGGCTCAGTGGCCATGACTCACGGGCCCAGCCGCTCCGCGGCATGTGGGATCCTCCCGGACCAGGGCACGAACCCGTGTCCCCTGCATCGGCAGGCGGACTCTCAACCACTGTGCCACCAGGGAAGCCCTATACTTCAATAAAATAAAATAAAAAGAGTGCGCCCGGTACTGGAGAGGTGAAGAAACTCATCGTTACAGGACTGTAGCAGCTCACAGAAAAAAGACGTTATCACGTCCACTGAACTTCTGATTGGCAGGCGTTCCTTCCCGTGTCTGGTGCGAGAAATTGCTCAGAACTTCCAAACAGATCTGCACCTTCAGAGTGCAGCTATCTGCTTTGAGAGAGGCCAGCAAGGCCTGTCTGGTTGTCTTTGGAAGACTCCAGCCTGTGTGCGATCAATGCCCAATGTGTAATAGTTAGGCCAAAGGACATCCAGCCAGCATGCTGCTTACACCGAGAACATGCTTAAGATGACTCAGATGGGAAACCTTTCATTGTTTAAAAAAAATTCTCTTCTTTGGTAGTTCTGAACGTTAGATTTTTTCCCCGCCGATGGATGCAAAAGGTACCTAAGTGTATGATTGTTGAGTGGAAGGATAGGGGGCAGAAATCAGGGATTGGCAGTTTTTCCATTTTCATTTTGTATGTGAATTTTTAATGTAAAAGCAGAGACAGTAATTCAGGTCATAATGTTTCAGCAAACAAGTTTCAGAAGTTGAATTTTATAAAAATTATAAATAAACCTGTTAAAATATTCTGGATAATGCCAGCGTTTGGATTTTCTTAAAGCAAGTAAATTTCTTTTTCAAAAATATTTATTGAAATATAGTTGATTTGCAATGTTGTGTTAGTTTCAGGTGTACAGCACAGTGGTTCAGTTATACATATATACATATATGTATCTCTATTCTTTTTTAGATTCTTTTCCATTATAGATTATTACAAGATATTGAGTATAGTTATACAGTATATATTATACAAGATATTGAGTATAGCTATAAAGTAGGACCTTGTCGTTTACCTATTTTATATATAGTAGTGTGTAACTATTAATACCAAACTCCTAATTTATCCCCCACCCCCGCCTCCCTTTCCCCTTCGGTAACCATAGTTTTGTTTTCTAGGTCTGTGAGTCTATTTCTGTTTTGTAAATAAGTTCGTTTGTATCACTTTTTTAGATTCCATATAAAGCGATATCATATGATATTTAAAACAAGTAAATTTCCAGCTGACGGCAACTAAATGGTCTTTGCAGCATTTTAATCGTACGGTAGATTCCATCCATTCACTACACTTTTCTGAGTTGCTTTACATACATGTGTTTAGTGGTTTGTGTCTTCTGTACTGCTCCTGCAAGTTTGTTATTAAAATAAATTACGCTATAAAAAAAGTCTAGGAATAATTTCAGTTTCTTTAGGCATCCAGATTTGCTATGTTCGCTGTCAAAGTGTTGTTATGATCTCGGGGATGTAAGTGAGCTTTGCATTTCTGGTTCCTTGGGATACATCTCGGGCGTATGAGTAGTTTGAAGGATTTGGGGTTACACACAAACACACACACACACACACACACATACAGCATTTCCTTGCCAAATGGAACTTAAATGAAGTTTCTGGAAAACACAAAATTATTCAGTTAGTATGATAAACTCTCTAGGGATATCATATTCATTAAACTGACTTGGATTGTAATTCCTGGTACGTACTGGTGAAGTGTGAATGAGAATAGAAATTGAATCTGCTTTCACTTCTAAGCTCATTAGCAGTAACAGGACAAGCCGGCAGACACTGCATTCGTAAAATGTGTTTACACCCTCATCTGCCTCTATCTTTTTTTTTTTTTTTTTTTGCAGTACGCGGGCCTCTCACTGCTGTGGCCTCTCCCGTTGTGGAGCACAGGCTCCGGACGCGCAGGCTCAGCGGCCATGGCTCACGGGCCCGGCCGCTCCACAGCATGTGGGATCTTCCCGGACCGGAGCACGAACCCGTGTCCCCTGCATCGGCAGGCGGACTCTCAACCACTGCGCCACCAGGGAAGCCCTGCCTCTTATCTTTGAAGATACGTTTAGAAATTTGTCTTACAAGTGCATAAATTTAAGAATATTTTGTCAGTTATTTTAAAATTGTTTTCATTGTTAATAAAACCATTGGAGGGGTGGTGCAGGGCAAAACCAGTCTATTGATTGTTTCATTGAAGAGTTTGCAGTTGGATGAACCGGATGTGATAAATATATTCTGCAGCTCCATCCTAACTAGGCTTATAGGAACGCTGTGACAGATGGAAAAGTATCCCTTAAGATCCTCTTGGTACCTCAGTAAGTTTACCTGAGAAGAGCTCATTGTGCACAAAGAGTATTACAGTTTGGCTTCTGATGGTTGGGAATAAGGTGTGCTCCTCCGTGGATACGATGATTACCTTCAGGTGTTCAGGTGTCTTTCTCTTGCTGAGAAGTGTGGCAGTGTCACTGGGAAAGTACACATTTGAGATTAAGTGTATACATATTTTTGTATTAGTGGTGCAATCTGCAGATTTCATTCTTATTCTTTTCTGTTTCCTTCTACTACTTGTATAGCAGTTACTATGTCTCAGAAATAGCTGTAAGCGCTGAACGTGTTTCTCATTTTATGAGATGAAGAACCCAAGGCCCAGAGACGTCCATTAATGTATGCATGGCCATGTGACTAGTGACTGGTTTTGGGGGGAATTTCACCCAGGTGATCTGTCTCCAGAGCCCCTCTCAGCCTGTACCGCCTCTCTTTCTGGCCTCTGGATATCTACATACAAGTTTGCTTAAAAACACATGGAGTCAAAAATGTTGGTATAGCGGATCAGCTTGAAAACACTGCTATTAATTTTTGCATTAATTGAACAAACATATTGACCACCAGGGATGCAATAGGAAAAAACACGGTGCCTGTCCCAAAGGACACATTTCCTCCAGATGTGAAATAGGAGTGAAATGCAGACTCAAGCGTATTAGATTGTAACTAATTAAAAAGTTGGACTTGGCTTTTTAATTAATTTATTTATTTTTTAGTTTTAGCTGGGTTGTGTCTTCGTTGTTACGTGCGGGCTTTGCTCTAGTTGCGGCGAGCGGGGGCTACTCTTCGTTGTGGTGCGCGGACTTCTGATTGTAGTGGCCTCTCTTGTTGCGGAGCATAGGTTCTTGGCGCATGGGCTTCAGTAGTTGTGGCTCGTGGGCTCTAGAGCACGGGCTTCAGTAGTTGTGGCTCGTGGGCTCTAGAGCACAGGCTCAGTAGTTGTGGTGCACGGGCTTAGTTGCTCCGCGGCATGTGGGATCTTCCCGGACCAGGGCTCGAACCCATGTCCCCTGCATTGGCAGGCAGATTCTTAACCACTGTGCCACCAGGGAAGACCTGGACTTGACTTTTTAAAACTTGAAATGTAATTCATATGCCACAAAATGCGCCATTTTAAAGTATATAATCCAATGGTTTTTAGTATAGTCACAGAGTGTTGCTACCATCACTCCTATCTAATTCTGGAGCATTTTCATCACCCCCTCAAAAATCCCATACTCATTAGCAGTCATTCCCCATTCTCCCCACCCCCCAGTCCCTAGCAACTACTAATCTACTTTCTTTCTCTATGGAATTGTCTATTCTGGACATTTCACATTAAAAAGAGCCACAACTTATGGCCTTTTGTGTCTGGCTTCTTTCACTTAGCATCATGTTTTCAAGGTTCATCCACGTTGTAGCATAAATCAGTGCTTTATTCCTTTTTGTGGCTGCATAATATTCCATTGTATGGACAGACCACATTTTGTTTCCCATGTATCAGCTCATGGATGTGCCCTTGGCTTTAAGATTGTGTGTCTGGGAAGGCTCCCTGTTAAAAATAAAATTTTAATGTGGTCAGATCCTTTGTCTTAGATGTACCAAGGGTTCCAACTCCTTCTGCCTCAAAGATTTTATGACAGAATCCACCACTGTAATGAACCAGACAATCCTTTCAGTGAAGTGTTGTGTTGTCCGATTTTCCCTTGACTATAAATGACTTCTGTTTCAAGACCTTGAGTTGGGTGGACGGCTCTTGCGCTTTTGTACCTGGGGCTTCACCAGGCTCTTATCTTACAGGCCAAACAGGATACAGGAATACAGTTGGCCCCCTGTATCTGTGGGTTCTGCATTTGCGGATTCAACCAACCATGGATTGAAAATATTCTGAAATATGAAATGTTCTGGAAAAAAATTCCAGAAAGTTCCAAAAAGCAAAACTTGAATTTGCTGTGCATTGGCAACTATTCCATTGCATTTATATTATATTAGTATTGTAAGTAATCTAGAGGGATTTAAAGTATACAGGAGGATGTGCGTAGGTTATATGCAGGCACTACACCATCTTATATAAGGGACTTGAGCATCCGTGGATTTTGGTATCTGAAGGGGTCCTGGCACCAACCCCCTGTGGGACGACTGAGGGACGACTCTATATGTATATTTCTTTAAACTTTCTCTCAAGTCCTTCTCTTTTCTTTATTACTTTGTAGTAGCTGGACTCAGGAGTATTATTTCCTATTTGATTTGTTTTTTCCCTTTCTGAATTGTTAGGTTTGGCTCTGTTGCCATAATCTGCAATTCTCTTGAGACTTAGATTCACTTCCGGCTTTTTCCTAAAATTCATCTTTGTCTCTTTTCAGGTTGATCCAGTGTTCACAAGGGAAGTAAAAGCCAAAGTAAAGAGGTAAGTCTAGGTGTTTTGCAGGAGAGGAAACCTAGTGACCGATAAATGATCCCAGTTCCCAAGCACTCACCATGTCCCAGGCTCTGTTCCCAGCAATTTACTAATAATTCCTCCTTTAATCGCCTGTGCGATTAGGGTGATCCTGTGCCATCCTAGGCGCTACTATTTTCCCCATTTACAAGCCAGGAAGCTGATATCCTGGAAGCATCAGCAGTTCCCTGAGGGGCGGCAGCATGGACACACGTGTGAAGACGTGCAGCCTCACTAGGTCAGGAAATTCCCAGGAAACCCACTTTGAGGTTACAATTGTCACTGATCACATCTGCCAAAACTGAAAAGACTTAAAACATCTGCTGGTGAAGGTGAAAATTGCTGCCACCCCTTTAGAGGGCAATTTGTCAGAGTCTTTGTTATCAATTGCGTTTGTCTGCCAGTAACCCAATAACACTGGCTTACACACCCTGGCGCTTAACTGCTCACATAAAAAAAATCTGAGGTCGTTGGTCCAGGACCAAGTAAGACTTCAGCTCCTGTCTTGCTGTCCTGCGGTCCCTACCTGTGGCTTCCATCCCTAAGGTGACAGTGGCTGTAGAACTCATGCATCACATTCCGAATTTTAAGTGGGGAGATGGGGAAGGGTTACCTCCCATTTGGGTCAGGCCCTTTTTTTTTTTTTTTTGCAGTACGCGGGCCTCTCACTGCTATGGCCTCTCCCATTGCGGAGCACAGGCTCCAGACGGGCAGGCTCAGCGGCCATGGCTCACGGGCCCAGCCGCTCCGCAGCATGTGGGATCTTCCCGGACCGGGGCACGAACCCTCGTCCCCTGCATTGGTAGGCGGGCTCTCAACCACTGCGCCACCAGGGAAGCCCGGTCAGCCCCTTTTTGTGTGAATTTCCTCACACCCCCAGGATTCCAGCTCCTCTCACTGGCCACACCATCACCCCAGGGGACTGGGAAACTGATTTCATCCCCATATGCAATCAGGTGTCTTTATGTTGTACATAGATACAGAATGCATGTATGTGAAAGTGTAACCAGTTATGTGAAAGGATAACCTCAAAATCCTCAGACTGGTGGAGAGGGGTAGGGGATGGAGAAGAATGTCCATATTTTTGGGTGAAAAAAAAAAACAAAACAAAACAAAACCTATGTGACACAGTGCTGGGAACCTGGGTATTGGTTGGGCTTCTCTATTTTACTATTTCTCTCTGTTTATGATTCTCCTTCTGTGTATCTTTAAAAAAGAATTTGAAGAAAGGTTGCATTATTAGGAAAGGTTTGTTTTCTAAATCATTCAGAGAAAAATGGCAAGAGCTGTATCTGTGACGTCCAGTATCTGAGAAGCACGTGTCTCCTTGGTCAGAGGGCTTCAGAATGACGGCGGGTGTGTTAACAGGCTTCCTCTCTCTCTTATCAGGGATGGATGTAGAATAGATTCTCACTCCAGTATGGTTTTCTGTATTGAATCCTTTAGCAGTAATGCTTCCCTGTGGATCTAGGGTATTTCTCCAAAATCGTCGTCTCCCCTTCTCCCAGCCCCTCCCCGTAAGATTCCCAGCCATAAGCTCTCTCTCTGCTCCGTGTTGTTCCAGGACCCCTGGGGTACGATTGATCGGGGAGATGGCTCGGGAAGACCTCCACGCGGTCGTGAAGAATTGCTTCGCGGTGGTGAATAGCTCTGTCTCTGAAGGCATGTCAGCCGCAATCCTGGAGGTAATGATCTAATGGGTACTGAAAGTGGAAATATGAAATTGTCCATCACCCCTTTTCCCAGTTATGGAGGTGATGCCTTTGTCAATAAAATTGTGCCCTTCTCAAAGCTAACAAAGTGAAACGGCATTTCCTCGGGAGTTCTAAAGTAGTTTTTAAGTTCTGTCTGGGGCTTAAGAATACTATTTTCTTTCTCCTTGCCATTTTTCCTTGCCAGCTACAAAATGAAATAAAACTAGGATGCTGTCGCCTCTCTGACTAGCCACTTAGCTTCAACGGGAAGGTGGCTGAGGCTGTGAAGGGTCGGGACAGGATGTGGGGTGAAGGTGTGTTTTGTAGGGAGCCTCCTTTTGTGTTGATGTCTTCTCCCTCTTTTCAGTGTGTCCTATGATCCCAGAATTTAGGGGATAAGAAAGGGTTGGGCTTGGATTTCCCTGGCGGTCCCGTGGTTAAGACTCTGCGCTTCCACTGCAGGGGGCACGAGTTCTATCCCTGGTTGGGGAACAAAGATCCCGCAGGCACTGGCGCAGCCAAAGAACAAAAGAAAGAAAGGGTTGGGCTTGTGCACACGGCAGGGAGTGGGGCTTCGTACATGGAGGACAGTAGTTGCAGATGCACAACGTGGTGGGGATGAGGGTGGACCTCATCTCTCTGTCTGGTGTTCAGCTCTGAAAATCTCTTACGCTACTTGGGCTAAGTGTGCACAGCCCAGCACAACCGTGCAGTCTGTTGCTGGAGTTATCTGTGTTTTGCAGGGAGAGGCTGAAATAAAAAGCCCCTGCACTTGATCCTGGCAGCCTCTGGATTGAGTGTATCAGCTCCTGGGTTAGCGGGACTTAATCCAACCTCACGGCCCTTTGCAATCTCTTCTCCTCACTGAGCGTTTTACGTGATGGGGTGTATTACCAGGATCTCTTAAACTGCTTTATGCTGATGACCTGAGTAATCCCCAGCGTGCCTCTAACGCAAAAGGATTTTCCTGTCCCTTATTTTGCTGTCGGCTCACAGCACACTGGGTTCCTTTGCAAGAGTGATCTTAGCAAAGAGGAGACTCCGTCCCTCCCGTCATAACCAGCGTTCAGTGCTGGATTTTCTTCATATCATTAAATCACAAGCCATCCCTCGCAGGGAGTCTCCTTTAGTTCTCACACGATAGATGCCTTGTTAAGTCGTCTTGGTTAGCGCCTGATAAAACTTGCTGTAGAAACAGAAACGTTTGGTGATTGGCCCTCCAGGTCTTTAAATCACGTTTCACATCCCCTTTCTCACGGTGCTAGTTTCTTACTTCAGGGTCTACTTAGAGCGATGCTATTATTTTATCATAAGTATTTGTAACATCCATTTATTCCTTTGGATGCTAGCTGAATTTACCAGCCAAAGTTACAATTTGTGAATTTCAGTGTTTCAGAGACCCTGGTAAATAATTAAAGCAGGAAAAAAATCATGCTCCCTAAATTTAAGAAATGACTGATGTCACATGCCTAATATTTTCTGTGAATGTGGCATCATTTAAAAAAGCAAACAAAGAAAACCAAAAACAAAATATTGTGGGCGGGGGTAATATATACTGACGCCTGTAATTCCAGTGTTGAGAAGCTTTCAAAGCACAGAGCTTGGATTGGTGACATGTTCATCTTCAGCCAGATGCTGAATACCTCAGTACCTCAGTCTAAGCCTAATGATTAGCATTAATCTCTGTTGTGGTTTAGAATCATCTTTCCACTAGAGTCACTGGAGCGATACATTGTACTCTCCCTGTTAGCTTTAAAAATGTCTATTCTTACAGTACCACGTCCTCAAGCCATTGCTGAATCGCTCCTTTGTATGTAAATACACATTTTTTTTCTCCCCCAACTTCTTAAGAAAAGGTAAAGTGGAATTCGGGAATGATTTTATAAGCAGCACACAGAGCAGTTCACTGGAGATGAATTGCTGTCAAATTTCATTTACTTCAAAGGAAAGGCAGCTGTTAGCAATTCTGTCTGCCTTCAAATGTGGACACTGTGTTCCTTTTGAAAATTCCAAAATAACCTTTGCGCTGAGGGTTTTGAATGAAACTGATTTTAGAGGAGTCCTGGAGGGTGGATTTCATTAGAATCAATTCAAAGGACCAAAGTGGTTAATCACAGAATAAGCGCATATCACTTTTGAAGGAAGGGATCCTTTGACCTTTCAGAGTTAGCTTTGTTTTGTCATGGAAGCATGTAAAAATCCATTTGCTATGACACACTTCTTGTCTTTTGCCGATAAACTCCGCTTGATAAATCAAGCGTTAGCTGGATGCCCGGGCAGTAGAGTGGACATCCATACAACAAATCTGTTGTTTCAAGTTTGGGCTTATTATGGAGTTGAACTCTACACAGAATTAGAAGAATACAAAAAAATTATTATTATTATTAATTTTTGTTTTGTTTTGGCCATGTGGCATGCGGGATCTTAGTTCCCCGACCAGGGATCGAACCTGGGCCCCCTGCAGTGGAAGCGCGGAGTCCTGACCACTGGACCGCTGGGGAAGTCCCAGAAAGTTATTTGCTTGTCCCATGGTTACCTCACTGGGCTCTCTTCCCTGCCCTGGAGCGCACACACACACTCCCAACCTCCAGGTCAAAGTTTTCACTGCCCAGAGGAGAGGAAAGCATCTTCTAAAGCAAAGAGAAGTAAAAAGGTAATTCTTGGGCTCTTGGCTTCCAGGCCCAGGGCCTAGTGATGAAAGATTCATTTCAGAGCTTTTCAAGGATAACTGTGACCCTGTGTCATTTGACCTTGGCTAATTTCAAAAGTGTGTGGGGCAGAGCTGTGCCCTTCCCACTTTTAAAATGGGAGGGCTTTTGGACTTGTCACAGCTAGGAGGCTGCTACTGGCAGTTAGTTTGGCGGGGAGGGAGTGCAGACAGGCAAAGTATTTTTCAACGTGTAAGACGGTCTTGGCGTCAAAAATCTGTCCCCAAGATGCCATTGGCGTCCCCGTCAAGGGGCGCTCTAAACTGCATGGTGTCAGATCCGAACGCACTGTGCGTGCACATCAGTGGGGCACTCGGACCAGCCGCATCCCCACGTGACAAGCAGTGATCATGGTGCTGGACATATGCCCAGTTAAGGCCACTGAAATGCACACAGACCTCTCTGCAAGGAAATCTGGACCCCAGAGGTTTCAACCTAGGGTGTGCGTCAGAATTCCCTCTGAAGCTTAAAAAACCATCAGTATGCGTGACGGCGCCCTGCAAAAGCTCTCTTGGCTGTGCTGACGCGGAGCCCTGGCGGCCACGCTTCCAAAGGCTCTTCTGCGTGTAGACTGGGGGCCGTGTCTCTGGAAACCTCTGTTAGCCCCGCTGAAGACGGTGCACCAGCGACAAAGCTTTTTAAAAAGGTCAAATAGGAAGCTTCTACCTACCTGCTGGAAGGTAGAAGAGCTCATCGGGGGGCAAGAGAAATTCAGTGACTGCAAACTCGACCGGCTGTTAGGTGCCCCTTCAGCTCTGATGTTTCCTCTTTTTTGTCCCAAAACGGGGCCCCAGAGTCCAGGTTTGAGCGACTCTCTGCTCCAAGCCCCACCCCCTCCACTGCCCCTTTCCCTCCACTGTCACGACCAGAAGGGGTTCAGAGGGCGAGCTCGCCCATCTCCAAACACCGTCTCGCCCAAGACATGGCCAGGCCCGGTTCTCGTCAGGACCAGCGTGACAGCACTGCTGTGTTCCAGGACTTTGCCTTTCTTGCAGACACAGTTTGTTTTTAAAGAGGTGACTTCGCACCTGAAGAAAGTGACTTGTGAATCAACCATCTGATTCCTTAATGCCATGTCTTGGCTCTATGAAGATAGCATTTCCACGTGCTTACTTATTCTTAAGATGCCTCCTTTCTTTGTTTCTTTTTTCTTTTGTTGGAGTATAGTTGATTTACAATATTTTGTTAGTTTTAGGTGTACAGCAAAGTGATTCAGTTATACATATGTATACCTATGTATCTATATTCTTTTTTTCTGATTCTTTTCTATTATGCGTTATTACAAGATATTGAATATAGTTCCCTGTGCTATACAGTAAATCCTTGCTGTTTATCAAGACGTCTCCTTTCTTAAAGGCAGTTTATTTTTAAGAGGGGGCTTTGAAATTAGTTTTCTCTGAATATACAGCTTTCAGAGAACATTTAAGTATCATCTTCCTCCACCCAACTCACAACTTCAAGACTCAGATTGTATTTCTCTTTTTTTTTTTTTTTAATTTTTTAATATTTTTTTGCGGTACGCGGGCCTCTCACTGTTGTGGCCTCTCCCGTTGCGGAGCACAGGCTCCGGACGCGCAGGCTCAGCGGCCACGGCTCACGGGCCCAGCCGCTCCACGGCATGTGGGATCTTCCTGGACCGGGGCACGAACCCGCGTCCCCTGCATCGGCAGGCGGACCCTCAACCACTGCGCCACCAGGGAAGCCCTCTCTTTCTTTTTGAGGTATAGTTGATGTACCTTATAGGTCTCAGATGTTCACCATAGTGATTCACAACTTTTAAAGGTTATACTCCATTAATAGTTATTACAGAATATTGGCTATATGCCCTGTGCTGTACAATATATCCTAGTAGCTTATTTATTTTATATGTAGTAGTTTGTACCTCTTAACCCCCTCCCCCTATCTTTCCCCTCCCCCTTCCCTCTCCCCACTGGTGACCACTAGTTTGTTCTCTGTATCTGTGAGTCTGCTGCTTCTTTGTTTGTTTGTTTGTTTGTTTTTTGGGGGGGGCATTCCACGTATAAGTGATATCACACAGTATTTGTCTTTCTCTTTCTGACTTATTTCACTTAGCATCATGCCCTCCAAGTTCATCCATGTCGTTGCAAATGGCAACATTTCCAGATTGAATTTCATTCTTTCTGCTGAACTGCAGTTTTCCTTGAAGGCAAGGAGCATGTCCTCTGCAACCTTGAACCCTCCCCCAATAATCAATAATCAATAAATATTCATTGGATTGAGCAAACCTAAACTACTATACGGTATCACCTCTTTGACTTGCCTTTAATCAACTGGTCTCATCGCCCAAACCTCCTGTGTCTTGCCCTTTGCAGGTTGATGATTATTTGTTGAATGAGGGACAAGGAATGGGTGATCTCACTGGCCCACGGCCTTACTTGTGTGTTGGGTGCTTGGTGTGCACTGGTTGATATACAAGTAAGTCCATACTACGGGAGGGATGATGGGATCTTTTTTATTTTTTGCTGAAACAGGGATATAAACTCTGTCCTCCCTCAGGATCGGCCGGTTCTGAGATTCTCTGATGGCCAGTTTTATAGATCTACACTTATATCTTCATATCTGTATTTATAGAATCTCCTCTCAATCTGTGTATCTGCCACAGTTTCTCCAAAATGCACCGGTGCTTAACGACATCAGTGGATAAAGGTACCATTTGGATTGGAAGATGCTCCAGGGCCCACCTGGGACAGAGAGCAATGAGAACAGAGCTAGCCGTGTGCCCTGACGTGTGTGATCAGCCTCTAGCGAGCCTCCCCTCATCCCCTCATCGGTGGGATGAGATGAGACAGTCTGGAAGGTCTCAGCTACGTGGAAGATTCTGCAGTCCCTTGACAGAGGCCTAGAAATGGAATCACAGTGGGTCATGCCAGTTTGATGAGCTAATGACCTGAACAGGGTGACGAGCAGGGAAAGGAGCCCTCAGACATCATGTCGTCTCACTCACCGTGACTATATTACGACCCTGTAACTTACACAGTCAATGTCAGCTTAAGCCATCAACCACCTAAGTGGTATTTGTGCAGAATGACATCTGAAATTTTCATTTATTCTGGAAAGTTTAGCCCCTCGTTCCCAAATGATAAAACTGGAGGCCAGGAAGAGGTCCGGTACCGGGTGTCGAACTTCAACTCCATTTCCCCAGAATGACTGATGAGCAATGAATTTGAGACCCGCCATGTTAGTCGAGGGCAAAGCCTCCACCAGGGCAAGACCAAGGTCTCACAAGTCCTGGCTTGTGCCCTTCTCCAAAATACCAGATTGCACCCACGGTATGTCAGAAGCCAAGTTCCAACCAGTGGGTTCATAAAGCACCTGTGACCCTAATGTCGAGATGTGGCCGTTTTGGGTGACTTTTTGCCTGTGCTGCTGAGTTTCCTTGTTCCTGAATGTAGTGACAGTGGAAGGTCCCGATTTTTACCCTACAAGATGAGAGCGGAATATCACGACTTGGAGACTTTCTGTGACCATGAAAGGCCACCACGAGAGGCTGTCGCGGTGCTGGGGAGGGGACTCTGAAGCTGGGGGCAAGCAGGAGGGCTCCAGTCCAAGCAGCCAGCCAGCTCGCTCCGCTGCCGTCCCCGATGGTGGGAACAGCACAGTCTCAGGGGGGCAGAAAGGAGGGCTGTCCTCTCTCCTCCAACCTTATGCAGGGCCTGGATCTCAAACTCAACGTGTACTGGGAAGATACAGGTGACACAGAACCAGAAAACCAGGTGAGCTCACCAAGAAAACTGCTGACGAGAGAAGATGATCCTAGTGTGAACCATTGACTTATGATTAATTTACGTTCAGATGCTTCTGGAACTTTTGATTCACAAGCATTGGTTGAGCTCTTAACTGTGTGTCACACATGGCTCCGGGCACTTGGGCGTTGGTGGCGTTTGTGCCGTGTGAAGCCCTTGGTGTCACAGCTTCCCATGGTAATGTACTAAGCGGCTGAGATTGGGGAACTTTACCTTTCTGAAAACCGAATGTCACCCCTTCGTGACCAAATTGTTTATTACGTGAAATGAGACACCGCCTGCCAAATTGGAGTGCCTAAAACATCCTTGTGTATAGTAAGAGCCAGAATATTGGTTTGCTGATAGCATCCCCTCAGGGCTGCCTCTGGACACCAAGGTGTGAAGGGATGTCCCTCTCACCTGCTGAAAGGCACCTGTCACATGAAAGCTGGGTTGGCCCCTGTGAAAGTCACCATGGGAGAGTCCATGCAGGGAGCTGAAATGGAGCTGGGAAGGGCTGGCCTAATCCTGTATGTTTCTAAATGCCCCCCTACCGGGCAGGGGAGGCCAACACTGCATGCTGCGCTTCTGGGCATCTTTCTGAGGCCTCGATGCCGGCTTGTGCCAGACTATGGGGTGCCCCAGCCTGGCTGATCGCAGCCCTTTGGGACTGGAAAGGCTGCTTAGTGGATAATCGGAATGATAAATCGTGCTTCTCACTGCTGTGCACATGCCAAAGGGACGTGTGCAGTCCTGGTGGCATTCGTATGGCTGGCGCTGGGAGAAAATTACTCATCGGGGAAAGTAACGACGGTAGTTAAAAATGTATAGTCCACCCTGCCGCCAAAGAAGTGTCGACTGAACATTTGGAGAGAGAGGGTTTCTTTGTGACATCGCAGTAACGATGTCAGACCATTACAGCATGTAGTTTCCCAAGACTCGCAAATACAGTCAGTCATTAAGATTCAGTGTGTAGTTGGAAAATCTGGGGTTTGGGTTGGGAAATCATTTTCGGCAAGCTTTTAGGGTACTTTTTGTGCGGTGCCAGAGCTTCCAGTTAAGCTAAGAAGTTATTCTCCCACATTGTAAGAGCTTTGTCTGGCCACAGAAGCTCTTACAATGATCGCCCACCTCTCCTTTGTTCTTTTCGTCCTTGTAGGCAATGGATTTGGAAGTCCCTGTGTTGGCAAGGAACATCCCTGGGAACGCGGCAGTGGTGAAACACGAAGTTACAGGATTGCTGTTTTCCGACCCTCAGGTAAAGGAGGGTAATTTCCCCACGTTCACCTGGTCTGAGTAGCTTTCGTCTGTGTGCGGTGATCAAGGGTCTGTGATTTGCGTCTTTGTGATTAGCTCTTGGTGTTCTCCTTATAATCAGTAGGAGAGAGTGTGCAGCACTGTGTCACTGTTGTCCCGTGGGCAGCTGCCTGGACGTGTCACTAAAAGAAACCTAGGGACTTTCGAGGAAGTCGAGACTTGAGTTCTATTTCTGAGGCCTCTGGTGATGATCATTGTGACCTTGAGCCAGTCCCTTCCCCTCTTATATGCTTGGGTTTCTGGTTTCTTTTTTTTTTTTTTTAATTTACTTTATTGCAGTATAGTAGATTGACAGCACTGTGTTAATTTCTGCTGCACAGCACAGTGACAGTTATACATTATGTACGTATGTTTTCATATTCTCCGTGGTGGTTTATCACAGGATACTGAATGCGGTTCCCTGTGTGCTACAGTAGAACTCGTTTGTTTGTCTGTCCTACAGATAGTATTGGGTCGGGCAAAAAGTTCGTCCAGGTTTTTCTGTAAGATGTTACTTTTTGGCCAACCCAGTAGTTTGCATGTGCTAACCCCAAACTCCCAAACAGACTTCTGGTTTCTGAAGCAGGCACTCTTCAGGTAACCATCCTACACTTCCAGGACATCTCCTGGTGTTCAGAAGACTGCCACATATCTGATCCCTTGCAATCGTTCAAAGCAGTGTACGCAAGAGGCAGCGGAGTTGTGTTTATACACGTGTGTATCTGTTACATGTGTGTCTGAAATGAAAGGTGAATGCAGCTGATAGTGGGCACAGCTGGTGGAGCCAGTGTCATCTGGGGCACATCATGTGTGAAGGGGTCCCGGTCACAAAGTCTGAGGTTCCAAGGATGTGCCTGCACTTGAAGCCCTTGGGACCCTGTGCAGGGCGTGTAGCCTGAGTCTCCAAGCTCTGTCTTGGCCTCCGTACGATTACAAGAGCTAATTATAACTCTTGCTCTTAGAGGTATGATGTGGGCTGAAGGGGTTGATATACAGGGCTGAGCGGTGGTCATGGCATGCGGTCAGGGCTCTGGGTCCCCGTTATCACCAAAAGGAGAGCCCTTCGCTGCTGCCTACGGCTCGTGTTCGGTGGCAGCAAAAAAAGAGTCTTAGGCCCATCCTTTGCTCTTCAAGTCTTTAGATTTAGAAATTAGGTTCTTGTCACTATCATCTTTATGAAGGCACATGTTATATAACAGAAATAAAGGGATTTATACTTAAAAGCTCGGGTCAACTTCAATATTTGAAAATGCCGTTTTTCAGCTTTCCTACCGCAGATATTTAATGCCAGATCGCTTTCCCTTCCCCACAGTATAAATATGCATCACCTAGTTTCACTGCCTTCTTATCACAGTCACGCGAACAAGATGGAAGCCAGCTTCCCTCAGGGAGGGGCGGGATTGCAGGGAGTCGGGCATCACCAGGTGCTGTGTGGATGCAGCCGCTCACCTGGGAAACAACTGAAAGAGCAAAGGGCAGGCCCCGGGCTTATCAGTTATTATCTAACAAAAGGCACATCTAACAGGAATG